TCGTTATTTGTAACAGAACTCCAAGCCATGTGGTCCCTTGCAAAATCGAGGCGGCGTTCCTTGCGAAATTTATTGAGAGGTGATTTTTTTTGTAATTTTTTATGCTTCAGATGTGGCGCTTTTAGAATAGCCCTTCGAACGGTGGGTTTGCTGGCTGCAACATTTGCCATTTCTTTAATTTTTGCTGTTGAAAGGGCGGAATTCGATGCAATCCTAAGGATTTTGCGGGTTTCCTTCGGTGTCAAAGCCATCGCAGTTCTGCCTTTGTAGTTCTTACCATAGGAGGTACCTTGTTTCATGTAATGATCCACAACATTTGGACTTCGACCAATTTTTTTGGCAATTTGGCGATTCGAAAGTCCCTCTGAGGTCAAGATATCGATTGGTCCTTTTTCGCGATCAGTTAAACCTTTCTGCTTTCCCATTTTATTAGAATTGAGAAGTTTTCGACCAAACACAATGAATACTTAAAAAAAAACGATCCTTTTTCACACCTTTATTGCGCAAATAATGTAGGCAAACTGGGCGCCTCTATTCAAGTGAACCAATAAATCAAGCACAATATTACAGCTGCTGAAGTTTTACTGCTGTGAAATACCGTTAGATGGAATAATATTTTGATGAATGTTTATTTTCGAGCAAAGTACAGTCTTAACTTGAATTATCAGAAAACATTTTGTTACTTGATCAAATTCGGTGGCTTTAATAAACATTTTCTTCCATAAAAATTATTGCCTCTAATCAAGTGAACCGGACTGTATATTTTTATCATGGTTGTTAGTATCAATTTTGAGTAAATTAACTTTCCGCTCTGAGTCCTTAACTTTCGAAATATGATTTCGAAGTCTGATTTCTGTCGCAAGCACAATAATCATACCGAGTTTTGTCCAAATTGATCGAACGGTTACCGAGAAACACATATGTGGTCATAAGTGGGCGGTGCCACGTCCACCTTCCAAAATTTTATCATAAACGTATTTTTTGCTAAAGGGCCATTCCATTGTGACTTGTGGGACCATTTACTCCAGACTGTGATCAATTGTTAATTTTAACTATGTCGTCGGAATTTATGCAACAGCGAAATATATTTTTTAATATAAAACAATAACTAATGTATAAAATTGCTTTAACAAAAATACCCAACGATTTCTTAGTTTTATGTAACTATCATTTGAATGAATGTGACTGGTGGGACACTGAAAAGAACTCTATTTTACCCTTGTGCACTCAAAGAATTAGGACATATTTAAATTTATGTCGTTTTCCTCCTTACAATGGAATGACCCTAAAAAATTTTTGGAAACATCAGTTTTTAGCTTCAGTATTTACTGATTTATCGAAGATTTCGTATTTCTCCAAATTACCGTTATATGGGATAAAGGCGTGAATACTGTCCTATTTAAAAATTTTCGGCCGTTTGGTATGTTGTATGTTGGCCAACGACTATGCCAAGGTTGGAAGAAATTGGTGGAGCGGTTACCAAGGTATACACATGTAATCGTAAGTGGGCGTGGCTACGCCCATTTTTTTTTTAAATTGACATTCTTATTTTTCATCTAAAAATCAATGTAAATATCAATTTTGAGTGAATGCTACCGTTACGCGGGAGATAGGCGCGATTATTATCCGATTTTGCCAATGCCATCCGTCCTACGCTGGAAAGAAGTTCACCCACCAAGTTACATTAAGATATCTCAATTTTTACTCGAGTTAGCGTGTGTACAGACGGACGGGTGGATGGTCGGACGGACAGGCAGTCACCGCTTAATCGATTTCTTATTTCATTCAGATTATTTATGCACATATTTGTCTATATCTATCTCGATTTGTTTTGGCTTTTACAAACAACCGTTATGTGAACAAAGTCATAATACCCTTGTTCACAAGTGCGCTCGGGTATAAAAGAACATGATTTTTTTTTAATGATTAGCATATATATATTTCCCACTTTTTTGCAAAAAAAAATCTTAACCCTTGACGAGCAATGGGTCTATTTGTGGTTTTATTGAAAAAGTTTTAATGCAGTTTTTTCTAAATATTTGTATTGAAGAAAACAAATTTATTATAAAATACAATTTATACAGTGGCTATTTTTGAAAAATTTTGCCAAATCATATTAATTTCAATTGAAAATCTGAAAGGTGTAACTTTCTTAATTTGTTTGCGGAAAAGTTAAAAGAAGCAGACTTTGCAGAAACGAAATTTAAAAAAGCCTTTTGTTTCTTCTTTTTTATTGAAATGGTAAATAGTTCACTACTGACAGTATCACGAATGCCTCCAAAAAACCATTTTCTCACGAATCGCAACACGAAATTACCGAATTAAATTCAAATATCTTCATTTGTACGTTCTAGATAGTCTAAACACGGCCAAATGCAGCCCACCTTTTAAGGGCTTTTTCAAATTTAGATTTTTAGAAAAAGAATTTATTAAAAAAGAATTTATTATAGCTTAAGTATTTTCTCTCAAAAAAAAAAAATAAAAAAATCCGGGTTCGAGTCGTCACTACGATATCGTACTACTCGTCACGTAAACACACATTTTTCGGATTATAAAATACGTGAACGTACTCTTTGCCCCATTCAGCTTATACTTCCTGACGTATCACGTAATTTTCTTTTGTATCGTTTTTGATCCGTTAACGGATGTTACAATTCGAGCCCAGATAAATACCAGTTACCCATATGAAAAGTTTCTTCGTTTTTCTTTATTTTGTTCGTTTAATATTAACCTAAATATGGTTGTTTGAAACCACAAAATCGATTAAAATTTTTCACTTATGGACAACGACTTTGACCTAAGCAGTTGTAGTTATTTAAACTGAAGTTTTTTTTATCAAATACCAAGAAAAAAGTTTCTTGTAAGTGCGAAAATCGACTTTTTGCACACAAAAACTTATGAAATTATGGATACATAATGCATCCGCTGTTCGAATTAGGTCAAGACCAAAAAGCTTCGTCAATTGCCTCTCTTTTTTGCGAAGTTATTCCAGTTGTTCACATTGAGTGAAGACAGGCCACTTTGTGTTCTTTTATTATATTTTGAGGGGCCCTGGCTTTCTTTGTCCACCTATTGGGGACAAACCGAAGGATCTTTTCCTTGCTTTCAAAAATAAAAATGAAGAAATCGCATGAAGGTGATTCGCCTTATTTAACCCGCATACATCGGAAATTCTTTGTAACACAAAGTACGTTGTGCATCAATTTGATACATATGGAAAATAACCCAGTATTCAATGAAACCTTGGGTCTTTTTTTCATTTTTCATTAATGATCAACGTTTGTTTATTCATTTTCTGATAATAATAATAAAAATACTTGAAAGATCTATACCCATTAGTCGCAAACACCCAATTCAAAACATTAATTATTTTTATTAATATTTTAATAATTTTTCGAAATTTGCATTTGAGCAATTATTCATCAGACGAAACTGTCGGTACACTGTCGGCTCTGAAAACTTAGTTGTTTTAGAATAAAAACCGTAAGTTTTACCTGGAACATCCCAATCGGAATTATGCTAAAATAACGAAAGTCTTACGAGGCAACTCGGCTCTTCTGGCAGATATAAGTCTGGGTCGTTTCGGTTACGTAGACCCGACTATTGTGGGAGCATAAGCGACAGGTTGATGATCTCGATGAGGTAGTTTACTATGGTAGTCGCCAGATATTTTACCATCTGTATTAGACCATTCAGACTAATGTTTGTGAAGGCTTCAGCCTTCCTGCTTCCTTCGGCGCTGCTTTTTGGCAGTTTGCTCAGCCGTTTGGTGACAGGTCGATACCTCTTTTTCTTGCACGCACACTTCTTCGGGTCTGACGTATTATAGTCACCGAATGGGATAGACACCCGGTCTTTGTATATCGTCGATTTGGGTAAGGACCTGATAGGAGACCTTAGCGGCGAAGTACGGCTGGGAGTTCTATCCGGATTTTATGAATATCGGGATAATCTGGATATTCGAAAATAGAACGGATATTAACCGTATCTCTGGATTTTATCCGTAAACATGAATATCCGACTGGACAACCGAATACACGGATAGTCCTTTGGCGAAGTCAAAGGTTTTTAGGACCTTGTAGCGGCTACAACAACCCCGCCCAGGACGGTTGGTATCTCAGTCGGGTCTCTCCGCATGCCGGACACTCATTCGGCACATCCTCATTCAACCTACTCAAGTAGGATTTCAACCTGCTGCAGGCGACAGCCGGTTCTACGTACCGGAATGACTCGGGTTTCACATTCCCCCGACAGCCGGTTCTACATACCGGAATGACTCGGGTTTCACCCGACCAAGGGCTGTTGTTTCGGCGATCTAACCCCGTTTAGGTCGGCGAAGTATCTCAGAAGTTGTCCGTCCATAGGGCTACATTCACTACGTATTTCGCGAAATCTCGCTCGCAGCTATCAGTTAACTCTGGTGACCAACGTAACCTAACCTTAACTTAACACTTACAGCCAGTTTTACGAATGCAATTTTAGTGAAAAATGATTTTAATTTTTTGAATCTTATATGGAAATTGACGGAAAAAAAATAATTTTCCATTTAAATTGCTGGTGAAACTGGCTATTAACCTTTGTTGCATATAGTAATTTCATCCAAGTTCTAAGAAAAAATAAATTAAAATTATTGAGTTGTATGTATTTAAAATCGTTTATTGGCTTCTTTATTTAAAACACCATTTTTCGATTGTACGCAAAGCGAATATTGTATGTTTCTCACGATAAATTTCGACGTTTTTATTATTAAACTATGTGCGAAAGCATTGTTTTTCAAAATGTGCTGAAATAGTTTTTGTATGTTCCCATTGGTTTAGTGTTTTTGTAATGTATAAATTTATATTTAATGATTGTTAAAATATCGTGCATTACAATTAAAGAAAATAAATACTGTGATTAACTTATGGACGTAGCATTGAGATTTGAAAATATTTGACAATTTTTGAAAATACTGACAATTTCTGAATGGTTAAAATTCATTTAGTTAATTTTAGTTTTCCTCGTAAGCTAACTAAAAGTTTTTTGCCTGTTACTATGTACATTAAAACTTAATGTGACTCTTCTAAGCTCTAGAGTATCAAGCGTTAATTGTTTTTGGTTTCGCTTAAGTTTTACATTTGTGTAGATATGAACCGCATTCCAAAAATAATTCAATTACATCTATACGCTTAATGTGATACCATATTTTTGCTAGAAAAGCCTGCCACTAATATTAAGTCTGTGAAACTGCTTAAAGTACTACATAATTAACTAAATTTGGCGCCTAGCAAAATGTCGAAATTACTGACTATTTCATATTTTCTTCTTTCTGCACATGTATTTGTATGTATGATCGTACGCGCTAAAATTGCACTTTTACATATTACTACTATTAATTTTAATTTTTGGTTTTAGCACTTAAATTTTTGTATGTGTGTGTGTGTATAAGAGGCTTTTTGGCGCGTGCTGTGCGTTGCGTAAAATTTTTAAGCTAATACGAAACTGCTTGTTACTTATAGCTTCTTTCTCTTTCCACGCTTCAGCTATCAGATATTTTTCGTTTACTTTCTTTGGTGTAATATTTTTACTATAAGTAATTTAAGTAGTTTTAAAATTATACATTTTACTAAGCTAATTGCAAACGCTTGCTATGGCAATTTTTAATTATTTACCTTTTTCACCGCCATTCATTCATTCATGTCATAAGGTATAATGTGAATGTTGTGCGCATGCGCTTTAAACGCTTATTTATTTAGAAACTGCACGCTAGCTTATAGTTTGCTTTTCGGTATATTATTGACGATTACTATAGAACTGATTGATGCCTAGCACATGCTTCTCTTCGTGATATTTCTGCAGGATATGTGTAATTACAGATGTGGTGTCATTGTCGCCACCCCAAACGCGTATGGAATTCTCGTTTTCGAGTATGGACAGAAAGGCTAAGAAGAGAGTAAGTAAGTAAGTGTTATAAAAGGTTTAGAAAGTTTTTAAAAGATGAAACATTTTGCAAATGTGTGTTACGCTTTTAAAGCTTTTACCAGCTAAGACCATTTTAACAGAAGAATTCGTAATTAAAGTGATACGAAAGTACACCAGAGTCTCACCATCACCAGAAATAGAACAAAACTTAAACTCACCTATTAGTATTTTTGGGTTACTTAAGTTCATTTGCACTTGTGGCATTTCGAGTATGGCCTTAAGTATAGGCGAATCTTGTGATAGACCTTCGCGCAGCTCAATCAAACTGCCAGTACGATTTCCACACAACCATTCACACGCTGCTGCTTTGTTATTGCAAGTCTTTTTTAAAGCGTTCAGCACTTCAGTTTCTTCGAAACCCATTTCCACCAACGAACTAATAGTCTCAGGTGAAGGCGGTATATCACGATGGCTATAGATGCGTACTATCTCTAGAAGCGCTTCTGTGTTTTCAACTATGCTCTGATAAAGAAATTTATTTCGTCAATAGGGTAACATTCAATAAATTGGGTACTTTTTACATCATTAGTGATTATGCCAGAAGGTGAGAGTACTGATAAACTTTTCTGTAAACCCATTGCTGCTTCCTCCTCTGAACCCTCCTCACTTTGATGTTGTATGAGCCATTCGAGTGCTGCTGAGTATACACCTCTGCATAAAAAAACACAATATTTGCATATAAAGCCAACCCTATTATATGGGCGTATATCAACCAACTTACTGATTAACTTTAAGCGCATATTCGGCTTTCTCCTTTTTAAAACCCATATCGACAAGGCACTGCAGTGTGTCATTCTGATAATTTCGCTTGTTGATCAGCTTCTGTTTAAGCATCGCTATCAGTCTTGTCGCATAAGGACCAGCGCCTATAATGGCTGCAGATGCTTGCGCCAGTGAAATGAGAACTTTACGCACATCGAATTGCAGCTGTAACGAAATAGCGAACGTATCAGTAGCGAATCAGTAATTGTAATTTACACTCACATTCGATTGCTGAAATATTTCGTTGATATCCACCAATGGCATATCCGCAGTGTGTGGCAGAATGTTACGGGTGGCAGCATTGATTTCCACTTCCCGCGGCGGTTGCACTTCGCGCGTTAGTGCCGTCATTTGCTGCAGGTTCTGCCGCCGGGGCACCAGCACCAACATGGAATTATCCTCAATTTTCAGCTGTGCCAGCGTCATACTTTCATTCAACTCGGCACCCTGGTACTCCGCGCGCATGATCCGGTAACGTGGCCCAAGCTGGCGCACATCGGGCGCAAATAGTGTCATAGCCGAGGGGTCATCGGATAGCTCCAACATTACTTCGTTTTTCAACTCTGTGATGCGTTTATTTACGTCCGCTTCGAAAATAAGGACACGTGCACTGGGACAAATTACTCGCACTTTGATTCTTTCTTTGGGCGTCTCTCGATCGATGTTATCACTGGAGGCGGCAGTAGCACAATCTGAGCTCGATAGGACCGCAGAACGGCGCGAGCCTCTTCTGCGAAGGGAAATGTTAAAATTTCAAATGTTTACTTTGTCAGCGAATGCTGATAACGGAAAACATTTACATAAATGGTAAGCGTACTTTGAAAACAAATTTCTTAACTTCTGCATTTTAAGTTGCTACAGCTTTTTTTGGGAAGGTCAATTACTTTCAAATATAAATATAAATTTTGACAGCGAATTTAGAAGCGAGGAAAACTGAATTTTAATATATTTTATTGCAAGGTTACTCACACTCTTGACACTCTACGTGGCTGCGGCGTCACAGTGGGACTGGCTTGCTGCAGCTGCTGTGACTGCGATAGCGATTGCTCGATAGGCGGCATATGTACCGCACGTCCATTAGGATGAAGTATGACGTGTCGTGCAGGGGATACCGGGACAGCACGTCGGCTACGTCGTTGTGGTGGTGCGCTGTGACGAGCGGGTGAAGCAACATGCTTAGGATGTGATTCGCATGCCACGGATGTCGTAGGTGCAGTTTGTGTTCTGGAATTGGCACTTGAGGCGCGTATACCGCCGTCACGTACCGCTTCAACACAAGTGGGTTGTGCCGTATCACTTTTCTCCTCATTGGCGGTTCGTTTATTGCGTGCCGCCCATCTGGCACGCATCCAAGGGATCATCAAAATGGATATTGGAGTTTGTAGATATGATGTAGAAGATAAATCAACGCAATGCTGAAAAGTTCAGTTGCTTGGGCAGCGGTCGTCAAAGGATTCCATGACATGATTCAGAGATTTATATAGGGGCTGTTGAATGTAAGCATGTTTTCCCACGAAAATATTAAAATGTACTTCTTTGTAGTGCTGCATAGCTGTTTGGACAAGTCAAAATAATAAAACTACGAGCTTATAAGAGTAATACGGAATTCGCGAGAGGCGATTTTGCAGGCAACTTTTGGTTGAAAGTAACAATCGCCTGGTGTGAACTAATCGCTTCCAAAGAATTTGGGGGCAGCATTTTGATTCAACCAGTCGCCTTTAAAATTGCCTCATGCGAACACCGTTAAAGCTCCGCCAGCTTACAACTCCATATATTAAATTAAAAAGATTTAAATTTATTTACTTTATACACACTTTTTCTAGCACCGTCTACAAATAGCATTTAAAAGATACGTTTTATTTGGCATTCCGCTTGTGCAATTAAACTTTAATTTTCTTTGAATTACACTTTAATTTTCTTTTTCAACTTTGTTTTGCTATCGTAGAATTTTTCTTATCAAGCATTACTATTGCGCTGTCATACAACATTAAACGACGGCGTTGAAATTTCAAGCAAACCAGCAGCTGTTGTTTATAGGCGGCATACATAGTGCGTCTGACTCGTGATTAAAATTTAATATAATTTTGATTTGATTAATATTTAAATTTATTTACTTTATACTCTCTACTTCTAGCACCGTCTACATATAGCATTTAAAAGATACGTTTTATTTTGCATTCCTTTTGTGCAATTAAACTTTAATTTTCTTTGAATTAAACTTTAATTTTCTTTGAATTAAACTTTAATTTTCTTTTTCACCTTTGTTTTTCTATCGTTGAATTTTTCTTATCCAGCAAAACTGTTGCGCTGTCATAGAACTTTAAATGACGACTTTGAAATTTCAAGCAAACCAGTGGCTGTTGTAATTTATTTATTATAAAATTTTAACTCAGAATTTTACATATCCTTAATGTTATAATAAAATGTTATTGGGCCTCCGCACACTAGCCTGCTCAGTCGGACTGAGCAGTCCACCACTCGAACGCTCACTGGACTGGGCAATCGGCCGTAAACAGGTTTCAGTTTAGTATACATGAACTACGCTTGATTGCGCTAGTGCGTGTGGCAAATGCGTTCTGCGTTATCGTGAAGTGATAAAAATAACACCTTTACACCGCATTTATTTCGGTGTTAATTTTATACTTTTCACTTCACTTCACGATAACGCAGAACGGGAATTGACCCTCAGGTTAAGATTAATGGTTTTTCGTACAGATGGCGCTGAAAATATTGACTTTTCCTGCCAGTCATTTTGAGAAATTTCGTTAAATTTTGGAATAGAGGCAATGAAGTAAAGATGCCGCTGGTGCTGGTTGTAGAAACTGCCTCGCTAAAAATCTTCAAATCGGTATTGTCTAGGAAAAATAGTAAGATAAATACATGTATTTTATTTAGGCACAGAAAATGTACAGTATAAATAAAACAACCATAAATTCAAATGGGAAAATATTTAAAATTTTTATGAGGAATAGTAGAGGCAGCAATGCAACCCTGTGCTAACTTAACGACAATTTGACGATGGAAAATTCGATGTGTGTTTTTCGACTTTTCTGAGCGAGCGAGCGTTGTTTTGTACTGCGGTGATTTTGATATAGAAATTGACTGGAAAATCGGTGTTATTTATAACTCAATTTATTAAATTGCGAATAATAGAAAGCAAGAGTGTCTTATAAAAGTGGTTATTTGAGAAATAGAAAGTGATTACAGCCCAGGGAAAGTTTTGCATGAGAAGCAAAAGCGATGGTTACATGTGTGCGTGTGCGATGAAAGAAAAAAGAAAGAGCCAATAAACGAATGGAAAGAATAGGAGCCGACCAAGGGAGAATCACCAAAACCGTCAACAGCGCTGACTACGACGACGGCGACGACGACAACGTAGCACTAGTAGAAATGTTATAATGAAAATTATAATAACACACATTTATTAAATGCGACGCACAATTGTCTTACAGACAAATGTAGCTGATTACCAGCAAAGAAGCACTGTGCAAACATTTAGCGCATGAAATATACACATGCTTATTTTTAAAACTGCTTGCTTAGTACTGGATGGAGCTGCAGTAAAGCAGAAAAAAAATTTGCTGAGCACGGAAAAGGGATACATAGGTGTTCTCGAACACACGTTCACATATCCGGTAAGTAAGCAGGTATTTTTTATATACATATGCTGTGGTGATTCTCCGGGCATCCACAAGAAATGTGAGTCGACGCAAAACCTGACTGAACTGCCTTTTTTTTATAATTTTTTCGCTTCTGCCAACACAAATGAATAAGAGCTTTTTGCATTGCAAGCGTGTTTTTATATACATACGTATGTATGCTTGAGTTTAGAGAGTTCACTGCATTTTTTATGTCTTATTTATTTGTTCTCGTGGCATTTACCTCGAAAATCGCGTTTATAGGTTTATACTTTCAATGGAATGTTTTGTATGATTCGCGTTATATTCCGTTAGCGGTTGAAGTCTCAGTAGCAGTCGCAGTCAGTGGAGTATTTGGGTGCCGTCTTCGATATTCGATGTTCCAGATTCACTTCTTGGCAGTTTAATACCTATACATAGTTGGTTAAATAGATAATTCAATGTTGTTTTGTTTTTATGTAAAGGTTGGAGCCAAGAGGGCCCATTCCGTGTAAAGTTCTCCCTCGTTTTATATATAATACCACTTTATTCCTTTTTATAATATACCTATGGATTTTCTTATTTTGTTTTATTTTACGGAATGGTGTAGGGCACACAGTAAATAATTATACAAATAATTAATAAAAAAAATATGTAGTTTGATTATATACTATGTACTAGCCTGAACCCGCGGCACTGCTCTCGTGGTAGCAGAATATGGAGGCCAGTTTTATAGCTATAAAATGAAATGCAATAATAACTTTGGTAGATATGACTACATACCAAATCTCAAGTTCATGTATAACCTTCCTGTGAGCAAAGTTTAGTGCGATTCCTTGTCGCGGTACAAAAGTTATAAGATAATAAACAAACAGACATTCACATTTATATATATATGTAGATATATGCATGAATTCTCAACTCGCCCCGAAAGTGTCCCGTCTCAAACGCTTACATTTTCTTAAATATTAAAAAAAACAAGTTCTTTAACTAAACTGTCTTAAAAGTAACGCATTAGTTCTCCTACTCAAACTGCTTAAAAAGTTTAGTACGAGTATCTCAAGAGTAAGAAGTTTTTCGTGTTCAACCAATTACGCAATTTAAACTTTGTAAAAGAATAATTCACTTAGGGGCAATTTCACGAAAATAATTTGTGAGAAATAATTTTAATTTTTTTAATTTTTATCCGGAAATTGACAGAAAATAAAAAATAATTTTCCATTTAAATTGCTGGTGAAACCGGTTGTTAACATGTCAAACATCTATGTATTCATTCTCTATTCAGTGGATCCCATTGTATTATAAAGTCTTTGAAATATTTAAGTATTGGTCTAAAAACGAGTGAAAATGTCCCACCCGTCACAACGGAATGCCCCTTTTGGAACTTTCGTTTCTGCAAACAAAGTGCATTTGCATTCCCCCTTAGTTTTGTTCGTATAGCGTAATCAAAAGGAAATACAATTTTTTGCTGGAAACAGAAACCTCTTAGCTATGATTATCTTAATTTTCGACTAGCATAGTTCCAAATATGACTACCTACTCTAATTTTTTTTTTATTAAAAATGTTATTAGCTATCTAATATTACGTTCAAATTGGCCCCATTTAACTGGTTAAATGAAAAAGAGCTTTTTGGAAAACGCAATCGTCCACATTGAACATTTGGAGTTAACTTTGACGGTTGTTTTATTACCAATAAAGATTCGAAAAAAATATTTAAAATCAAGTTTTTGTGTTTCAATTTGTTTTGCCGAATGTCTGCTTCATGATATTAACGCATACGGATTACTTAGAGACTTCAAAATTTTTAGTTCGTATGCACTATTTATCTCTGCGTACGATGAGACCTCATGGGAAATAACTAATCACCGCCTTGGCCTCTTTTTTGGCGGGCAGACATGCATACAATTTTGATATTTTTTGATAATTTTTAATTTTCAATATTTTTCAGAATATAACTTTTTTGAACGTTGGCGGGTCAAATGAAAGCTTTTGGGTCTTTCTGATTGGCCGGAGCAGAAAGCTTTCCGATACAACTCTGCGTTGAAATGGTTTTCAAACGAGTTCAATTTTTCAACAATTGCATGCGATATAACTTGTTTATGAACATGTCTTGTTCATTTAACCGGTTCAAGCCCATTAAACATGTTTAGCTCGTCAATTTGAACGTAGTATAACTCAACATTTGGGCGGTATCGGGAAGGTCTGTAAAAATTTTGTGGGTGCACGGAACCAAAACCCTTTCTCGACACACCCGATAAAGCCGCAGCATCTCGCAAATTCAGAAAATCTTCGTTAAAAACGATGTAAGAAATATCCATTTTTTACTGTGACTAGAATGCAAAAAAAAGAAAAGAATAGGAAATTTTTTATTTTTTTAATTGATTTGAAAGACATGTGAATTTTTCTTAGTGATATATTTCGGCACCCGCATATTTTTAACTGACTTCCAAGGAGGGGTTTATCAATCCGTCGAAATATTTTTTTTTTTTGTGTGTGTGTTACCGCATATCTTTGGACCACGTCAACCGATTTCGAAATTTCTTTTTGCATCGGAAAGGTAGTGGCTCATACTAAGCTGGTTTAGATCCGATCATTGGATCATGAAATATATATATATTTTTTATATGATGTATATACATACCACTTTAGTAGTAAACCATGGTTCCTCTTTGTTGTAATCTAACATTTTTATATTTTTTTTAACTTACGAGTTTTTATTTTACTCTTGTTTCAGTGACCTGCAGATGCAGATTATTTCTCGATACTTAAAAAAAATTAGGGTACCAAGAGCTAATAAACGCCAGGTAATAAACGAGAATTTACATACATATAGAGGTAAACAAAACAGGATTTCAAAAGCCAAGAATCGCCTCAGGTAGCACAGGAAATAAAATTTACGAAAAATACAGTAGTTAAGTATTAATTCGGAAGTCGCTTTGAACAGGTAAGTCCAAAATCATTTGTTCGGTGTAATGAAAAAGAATATAGTTTTAGTAAAGCAACTCACAGTGCAACGTTAGGAGCGAAAATCGTTTCGCCGTAATACATATTTTACGTGTCCGAAAAAGAAAAATAAATATTTAAATTATAAATTAAATTCTCTTCTACTTCCAGATTACATACTCCTAAAATGTGGAATTCCGATTCGCGTTCACCGAATGGTGTAGCCACCTCATCCGCGGGTTCGCCCAGTTATGGAAGTTATAATTCCAATAACGGTAATGGTAAAAATGGTTCACCGCATGCGCAACAGCAGCAACAACCGCTTCTTAAACAGCTAGGCATGACTTCCGCTATCAGTTTGGCTGAGCCTCGTTCTGAAGATTTGCAAAAAACAGAAGAACTGCGCAAAGCATTGGAACCATTTAAAGTGTTTGAAAGTCAAGATGAACTCAATCATCGTATGGAGATTTTAGCAAAGCTCAATACTCTTGTCAAGCAATGGGTTAAAGATGTCTCAATGGCAAAGAACATGCCCGAGGTAGCTGCTGAGAAACTAGGCGGCAAAATTTATACTTTTGGTTCATATCGTTTGGGTGTACATCATAAGGGCGCCGATATAGATGCGCTCTGTGTGGCACCACGTAATATTGAAAGAACAGATTATTTTACTTCATTTTTTGAACTGCTAAAAATGCAATCAGAAGTGACGGAATGTCGTTCAGTGGAGGAGGCATTTGTTCCAGTTATTAAAATGAATTTCGATGGCATTGAAATTGATTTGTTATTTGCGCGTCTATCACTCAAAGAGATACCAGACGACTTCGATTTACGAGATGATAATCTACTTAAAAATTTAGATCCACGTTCGGTGCGCAGTTTGAACGGCTGTCGTGTGACCGATGAAATATTGGCGCTAGTGCCGAATATAGAAAATTTTCGCTTAGCGCTGCGCTCCATTAAATTGTGGGCGAAAAGTGAGTATGATTTGAGTGAAAGTTTACTTAGGCTTGAAATATATTAATTTGTTCTCATTTTGTTGCAATTGCAGAACATGGCATTTACTCTAATTCTTTGGGCTACTTCGGTGGTGTGACGTGGGCTATGCTGGTGGCGCGCACCTGTCAGCTCTATCCGAATGCAACAGCCTCTACGCTTGTGCATAAATTCTTTTTGGTATTTTCACGTTGGAAGTGGCCGAATCCTGTGCTGCTAAAGCACCCTGACAATGTTAATTTACGGTTTCCAGTAAGTATTAAGAATGCGCCTGAAGGCAGATCGTTTAGAAAATATGTACTTTAATTAATATTTTTATTTCCCATTGCTTTAGGTTTGGGATCCACGCGTAAACGCTTCGGATCGTTATCACCTAATGCCCATCATTACGCCGGCATATCCACAACAGAATTCCACATTTAATGTATCGGAGTCAACAAAGAAAGTTATACTTAATGAATTTAATCGCGGTATGATTACCACAGATGAGATCATGCTTGGGCGCGCTACATGGGATCGACTATTCGAAGCACCCAGCTTCTTTTACAAGTACTATCAATGCTCTTTTTCACCGCCATTATTTTTTATACTTATATACATTGTAAATTTTTGACTTGCAATCATTTGCAGATATCGTCACTTTATCGTGCTTTTAGTTACATCGCAAACTGGTGACGATCAGCTGGAGTGGTGTGGCTTAGTCGAGTCAAAGATTCGTCTATTAGTTGGAAATCTCGAGCGTAATCAACACATTTCGTTAGCACATGTAAATCCGTCATGTTTTGATTTTAAGAAAATCGCTCCCAATACACAAAATAACAGCGGTAACGATGATGAAAAAACACAAACCAATAGCAATCCACCAGTTTGTACATCGCCATTTTGTTCGATGTGGTTCATTGGTTTAGAATTTGAACGCACAGAGAACTTGAATGTGGATCTCACTGAGAGTATTCAAAATTTCACAGAACATGTTATACAGCATGGAGTGAGTTGAGAAAATTGTGTAAAAAACAAGCAGTTTATCATAATTTTCTCTTTTGTAATTTTCTTAGGTAAATATAAAAATGCTTAAAGATGGCATGCATATAGAGGCGCGGCATGTGAAGCGTAAATCTCTTTCGCAGTATTTGGATACGGACTTTTTGAAGCGTGAACGCAAGTCTATGGAACAACATAACAATTTCAATAACTCAATTTTAGCTAATCGTAAGCGTTTATCGACGGAGCTGTCAACACAAACTAAAAAGACGCGATTGAGTGAATCGGTGAGTAAAAAATTATAGGAATTACATTACTTCTTTTTATTAATGATACTAAATGTTCACTCTTTCCTGCAGCAAACGGAAGAAAACTCAAATACGAGTGATACTGGTGACACAACGCCGACCACTCAGCCTACTACGGCGCCGAATTTCACACCCGATGGGAAGACCAACAAAAATGGTGGCTCTGGCTCTAATTCGCCACGTAACAGCATTGACAACAATAACAGCAGCAGCAGTAGTGTCAATGTCAACAACCAGAATCAGAGTAGTAATAGTAATATCAACAGTAGTAGTAGCAGCAGCACACCGGCTGCAACTGCCGCAGCTACCGCGGAAGTGGCCTGCTCGTGACCGACGCTAAGTACAGCACCGAATCCAACACCGCCGCCGCCTCCGCCGCCGCCGCAACCACAACCACAATCACATTATATGACTCATTCACTTCATACTGCACACTCTACACACTCCACACATCATACACATTCATCCATAGTTTCACATTCACAGAAATTTCGTAAAAACAATAACGCCGCGGCCGCTGCCAATTCAAATAGTATATTTAGTCAGCGCGCAACTTCAATCCCCAACCACAGCAGCAACGCGGCAATGGCATTCAAGCAAGGCTTGCCCACAGCATCATCGATTTACCAAAGGAACAATAGTCGCCGGTTGCAGAATAATATGTCTGCTGGCGGTATGATGAGTGTGGTGCGTGCTGGTGGTGGTGGTGGTGGTAGTGGCGGTGTCGTCGCCACAACCAACGAGAAACCGCTTACCTTTTCCACTTCAAAATCGACAACTGCAAATGCTAACTCCAATCAGAGTCATCAGTTTACAAATTATACAAATTGCGACAACTCTAATAGGAATAGTTGCTATAATGCCGCCACCAATGTCGCCGATACCACTGCCGCTGCCGCTATCACAACCACAGCTACGATTTCCAATCCAAATAACGACAACAAAAATTATAGTTACCATAATTCATGTAACACAAATGCTGACATCAATAGCCACCAAATGAATGCCGCTGATGACGTTGATGACAACGCCGACGACGATCTGTTGATGATGACCGATAACACTACAACAACTATTAATTGTAAGTTTTTAACACAGCAATACTATTTATTATTGGCTTTTAGCGACCAACAAAACAAAACTACTCTGACTGGATATCGATTTTTCCTCTATACTCCTAATTTTCCTTTAACTGTACCTATTTATGTATGTATTTTATCAATTTACTTTGATTTACATATTACTTTTATTACGATTTTACACGTAAAATTTTTTACAAAAAATATTTCTCAGTGAAAAAAAGAAAAATGAAATAAAAATATTAATAAAAAACAAAAAAAATGAAGAAAAAAATAAAAAAATCATAGTAAAAAACAGGAGATATATTTTTTGAAAAAAAAAAATTATACAATGGCAATTTTACAAAATAATAAAAATAAAAAGAGATAAAAAATAACAGGAAAGTACAAAAAAGAAAATGAGTAAAAAAAAACAAAAAAACGAAAAACTTATTTTATTATTAATTTCTATTGATTTTATTTCACTGATTGTGCATATCTGCGATGGCAAGCAAAACGTTCAATTGCAAAAATCTTAAACCGTTTTAAGGGATCATTTACCTTACCTTTCGAGTCTAAAGTGTTTTTGCAAGGCAATTTCGAAGAGTGGCAACAGCAGTTTTCTGTTTTGAGTACTCACAAAGGCATGACATATGGGCTACATTTCTTTATTCATTTTGAACGTTTGGAATAAACCTTTTTGTTTACTTATTCTTTAGAACATTCTTGGTGATCTGTTAACGTATATTTCAAACGCATTCTGTTTATTCTGGCTGTGAAACGGGATGATCTGGAATGTATAAAGAAACGCAGCCATGGTGTCATGTTTCCAGAAATTCTAAAAAACGCTCTGGTTCAATAAAAAACATTTAAAATTCAATTCAATTGCAAGAATGAATATTGAATCTAATTCAAATTGTTATCAACGCCTTACCACGGAGGATAGTTAGTAATCGTATATTATTCAATTGCACCAAATATGAAATTTCAAAGTCTAAGTACTGATCTTTAAGATCAGTTTCATCGCTCGGAGAATTTTATCAAAATGATCAAGGATTTACTGCATTAATGGATTTTTTTTTAAAGAAATTAAATTGTTACTCGATTTTGTTCGCACATTTTCAAACAGCCCGGGTATATGAGCAGCGAGTACTCGCACACTTGTTCAATGCTCATTACTCGAAATTTTTCGAGCATGAGCTCGAGCAATTCGAGTTTTTTCAAGTAATTTGAGCAATGTTTTTTTTATTATATTGACATTTTTGGTAGCAACTTTTAAAATTTTTCAAATTATTCATATATAATGCAAAGATTGTTACATTGGTATTAAATAATATAATTTATTTAACATGAATTAGAAAGCAGCTGCTGACAAATACAATTTAAAAATTTTCTTTTGTTTATGAAATTGTTCAAAAACTCGAAAATTTTGAACAAACATTTGAGCAGTTGAGCAATGAACGAGTTTCGAGCGAGTATCGAGCTACTCGCAGTGCTCGATACCCGGGTATCTAGAGCTCTAGGCGCCATAACTTCTAGCTGGGCCAAATAATTCTCCTTCTTGTTTAAACATGGTAAACTTTTCTGGAGTAACTTAAATACAAAAAAAAAATATTCGAAAACAAATATTTTTTTTTTTTTTCAGATCGTAGGGGTCTCCCTTTTACATTTTTCTTCAGACCTTCGGCATTCGAAGTCGGACTTTAAAGTATGACATATCGATGTACTTGTCTCGAAGAGACAATTTTTTTTTATTCTAAAATTCATGGACATCAAGTACTCCGTTCTAGTACATACCACCAAATCTCAGTTCGTATCACTATAAAATATCCCCCTAATGTAAGTAAATTAAAAATATTCCAGTAGAACTATACAAATATTTATTGCCGAATGCAGGTGTCACCGAACAATGTAAAAAGCCGTGCCAGCCAAATAAAATACGATTTTTTTCGAAATCGCCTTGCAAAAATAATGTAGACTCAGGGGTGTAGAGCGAACTTTTTTTCGTTTACTTGCAAGGTGGTACGGCCTAATGTATACACATGTATATCTCTGTCATGCGAGTGTTTCTGCACAACAAATTTAATTCTCGGAGCATTACACATTCGGCCGCATGTCGTATTATATTATAGCTTGCCATAACAGAAATGTACATGTATTATAAGTATTCGTATATCTTACTGCACACCTTATTTCTCTAAGTGCGTTTTAGGGACCAATTCTGAATATAATCTCTTAGGATTCTCAAGGTTTTTTTTACTTTCGACGGAAATAGATTTTTATCAGTAGCAGTTTACCATTTAAAAAAACCACCGTTTAAAGTCATCTGTCTGCAATTTAGAAATATTTTAAGAGGGTTTTAAGTGGAAATTAACGAGATAAATCTGTCGAAAGAAACATTTGAGAGACAAAAAAAATGTTTTTTTTTTTACGTTTCCTTGAAAAAATTTATTAAAAAAAAATCCGACTAGGCGTTGAAATGACAAACAATTTGTGCCGTTCAGGAAATACCCTGTAGAAATGAACAATGGGCACGTTCAGAAGGCGCAACAGCTCAGTAACTGTTGCGATTGCACCTTTGAACGCGTTGTTCTGTACTTCTGATCAACTGAAAAGTTGCGTGTTAGATGATCGTAATATTTTTCTGATCATTTGAGACAACAGTTATTGACAGTTATTCCAGGAGAGGAGAAAACTTTTTATTGAATTTTTTTCAAGTATTTTGGAAAACTTTGAATATACCATTTTGCCTTTTTAAAGAAAAGCAAAACTCCATATGAATCAGAGGGATTCCGATCTTATTAAAAGATTTCATACTATTTGGCCTTATCGAATTTTCGGAGCTTCTTTTGGACTTACCAAATTTTTCCTTTCATTGAATATCGATGGCTGAGTGGAAGATCGACCTATCTCGGCAGCCAGTTCGAAAACGCTCTATCTCAAAAAACTTTTCAAGAACGCCCTATTTCTGAATTTAATTGAAAAACACCCTATCTCAAAATTCGGTTCAAAAACGCCCTATCTCACTTCAAAATGTATTGAAAATATGCTGATATAGGGCGTTTTTGAATCGACAGCTGAGATAGGGCGTTTTTGAAACGAATTCTGAAATAGGGCGTTCTTGAAAAGTTTTTTGAGATAGAGCGTTTTCGAACTGGCTGCCGAGATAGGTCGATCTTCCACTCAGCCATCGATATAAACGAGAAAACATCAAAAAGCAAAACGCTGAATTAGCAACAAGAGTTTACAGGGTGTACATAGCGCAGTGGTTAACGTTTCTGACTTTGCACATCGATTACGCAGGTTCGATCCCTGCTGAAGTCTAGAAAAAAGAAGTCTGATGAGGAGATGTGGTGATCTCCGAAACAGCTGCTATAACTTCTACCGCTTGGACTTTGTTGATTTTGCAATTTTTCCTAATAAACAATCGTGGTACATAGCTCAATAAAAATATTAAAAATAAAAAAGCACCTTTATCCTTTTCGAAACGATGCATTTTTAATTTAGCCAACCTCCTGCATCAAAATATGAGTTTTCATAAATAGTGGATATGTATTTTATAAAATTACTCCGCATATTAGTCTTCAAAATTGTAAAAAAAAATTGTGTAGCACAAAAATATTGTCGGGTGTTTACACGAATCCTTTTAGTCGAACCTTCCGAAAATAAGTTTGTCATTTGATGCCGAGTGGAAACACAGCATAATGTTTCAGAATGAATAAAATACTTTTTAAAAATTAAATGTAACAGATTGTTCTTTAGGGTAATAATGAAGATTTAGGCATCCAGTTATGTTTTAAGTGTTTTATTTAAAATTGAAATCAAAGCTCTACATGTATCACGCGTTATGTAGACCCGTCGTGGGAACAGTGCATACTTTTTCGCGCCATCCGCTTTATAGAATGTAATGCACCAAGTTATCTCCAAAGCTAAAGCAACGCGGTAGCGCTTTAAAGCTGTAAGGGTGCGCTTGGGCTTAGCTGCGGGCTGTCCCTAGCACAATGCATTGGTTATACACTGGCGTGGGCTGAAAATTCACTTTTTTTAGAATTTCTATTGCTAATATCAAAAATATGGTTCATTATGCCCTAAAAAAAACTATGCGAAAGGTGAAACATTTTGGTCAATATCTTAGGCTCGCCCAACTCTATTAAAGTTCCATGTGTTAAAAAAAAGTTTTCTTAGCTAAAAAAAAGTTTTCTTAGCTAAAAAAAAGTTTTCTTAGCTTATTTCTACAAAAAAACGCTTCTGAAATTTTAGTAAAAAGATATTAATTAATATATTTCTTGATTACAATTTTTTTTAAATTACTATTTATGGGTAAAAAATATTTTAGAATTTAAACCCTTTTTTTGTTAAGAAAACACACTTACGTTATGTTTTTTTTTATAAAATGTTTGATGAAATCAAATTTCAAGTCTTTCTATGTAAACTTTAATAAAAAAAAAAAATAAAATATAATATACCACGTTTCTATGGATGGACTAAAAAGTAGAAAATGATCTTTCCTACACCCAATGAATTTATATTGATAAGTTTTGACTTTAAAATAATAATTATAATAATTTCTTATATAATTAGTAATTTATAAATTATTTCCCAACCATAAATGAAAATTAAACAAAAATGATTAAATTAATCAATATTTTTTATTTAATTACAATTATCTTCGAAAGACGTAGTTCTATATAATTTGGTATTTTTGTAGAGCATCAAATTTTCGATTGAACTAAGCGAGAAAAAAAAATGCTGAGCACATTGAACTTAGATGGACTTTGACGAGCCTTATGCTGAATTTCCACTAGGCATTGAAAAGACAAAAAATGTATGCCAATTAAAAAAATGCCTTGGCGAATGAACTTAATGACTACTTTTTTAATGTAATGATACGAAAATTTTTTAATGCCCGACTTAGCCATTTGTCATTTTTGCCATTTAATGCGTAGTGGAAATCTAGCATAAGATATTGGCTCAAAATTTTCATATTACGCACAGATTTTTTTAGAGCTTAATGAACCATATT